TTCTCCTCCCCCCCCCTCCCCGCTTGGCAGGATCCTCCCCCGGCCTCCAGCTGCTCCCATCAGTGTGCATTAATAAGTGCATATGAATGTACAGAATGTGTCAGCACTGTCAGACCTGTTAACTACTGCCTCTTTAATTCTGGTGCAATGTTGTTTTTTTAAGCAAAATGCAGGACAATGTAGCACTTTAAAGACTAACAAGATGGTTTATTAGGTGATGAGCTTTCGTGGGCCAGACCCACTTCCTCAGATCAAATAGTGGAAGAAAATAGTCACAACCATATATACCAAAGGATACAATTAAAAAAAATGAACACATTGGTTTTTTAAGTTTATGCTGTACAAACTAACTCAGCTGCTCCCTGAAGCTAGATAATTTCTGTTTGGCTCTCATCTAGAAGGAATTTCTGAGCACATGCAAGAACTTGCATTCACTCCTTTGTTTGTAGCCACAACAAAATCACCCCAGCTTTACTGCCTCGTCTTTCTCAGCAAGCTTCACCAGTTCCCCCAGGGAAGCCCTCCCATACGTACCCCTGCTATTAACTAACTTCTTGGTAGAATACTCTATTTTGCAAAAGAAATTGTCCCAGCCCTCGGGACAGCTCTCCAGTTGCTTCCCTTGTCTCGTTCTGCAAGATGCTGTATGAGAGAGAAAGGCAGCAAGGAGCTTGCAGATAAGATGCAGCTACTGGAAGATCAACTGGTTTCTCTCCCTTCCTCCTAGATGCGCAGGGCAGTGCCTGCAGGGCATGATAGGGAGCCCACGGTACCCTGGGAGCTGTAGTTCCTTGGCCAGCTCCCCGCCTAGAGAGCTGGCCCTGGAACAGGGAAGGGGCTACATTTCCCAGCATCCCTGTTTTTGGGAAAGGGAGGGGGAAGCTGTGAGCCCTGCACAGCTGCGAATGGGCTGCTGAAAAGAGGGGGTGCTGGAAGTATGCACAGGGAGCAAGCTTTTTGATCCAGATCTCACCCTCAGAAGCCTTCCCCAGCGTGGATCTGGGGTGCTAGTGGCCTCAGTTCACGGCTCCCCAAAGAAGGAATTGAATGGATAACGCTCCTGTCTGAAGCCTGGCAAAGGGGGTGTGTGGGCAGAGGTTTATACAAGTGAGGGAGGGAAGGCTTTGCTAGGGGCCCTGGGCAGCTCTAGGTGCAATGCCAGGCACACGGGAGGATATGACTATTTCCACAGCCATGGAAGCAGAAATGGGCTTTTCCTTTCCAGATTTATCCAACACTCAGAAAGGGAATGGAGCACTTGCCTTCCAGAGCTGAACAGTTTAATCTGGGCTGCTGTGACATAATTTCTCCAAAATCAAATAGTGATCCAGTGTGTGGACAAGATAGGACAAACATTGAGCAACAAACGCTGGCATCGTCCCAGTACGAGCTAGGACTGGATGTGCCATTTTCAACTGCCACGACCACTCTGTGGTTGGTTTTTAAGTTTTCCTTCTTTTTAAAAGAAGACAGGAAACAGAGTGAACCCAAAAGGCACCTCCATTTTTCCTCAGTTTGTGGGACACTCTGATAGCGGGGATCCACGTCTCCCATAATCACTCAAACTGAAAATGGTTCCACTTTACTGGGTTCTAGGGTAGGGATTTGCCAGAAATCGGTGGGTCGTGGGGGCCTGGCTCCAGAATGCCTGCCAGGAAGGGGGATAAACCAGTGGGGCGTTTCCCCGGATCACTAGGGCATTTCGCGGGGTGTGGACCCCGGCAAACCCGCACGGGCCCACAGCTCAGGGAGAGGAAGGGCGGGTGTCGGAGGAAGCACAACCCTGCGGAGCGGTGTGAGCCCAATGCAACCGGCCTGAGACTCAGCACCGGCTACACCCCGCACCCCACCGCAGCGCCTGCACC